GGGCGACAATCCTGCCCTCTGGTGGTTTCTAGGGGGCTAATACTTATCAAATGGCTCAGTTGCCGCATGACTGTGGTAAGGGCCTTGTCCCTCAGTTTAATTTTGTTCTCCTTGGACCTTTCTTGGCCAATGGTGCCCAGGAAAGACAGAGGCATGGTGATCAAGACGTCCGGGTATCCTCTAAACCTCAGAGTTAGTCAGAGATAAAGTCTGGGGTGGTATACTTTTCTTAACTGTGAAGAGAAGCCAAGGGTGGCTGTTTTTCTCCTGGTTGTTGAGAAAGGAGGAAGATTGCCCACTGCTAACTAACAGTATCACAGATGCTGACCTTGTTTGAGGGTTTGTGTCCGTCAGACCGTGCTCTGCATGTGGACCCTTTTATGAACGAAGAGATGGAGGCTTGGGCATTTGTTCAGGGACAGACTGGTTGGAAATAGAACAGAATCAAACAGCCAGTCTTTTAGGGGCTGATGACTAAGCTAGGATGGTGCAGAACCGAAGTGCGTTAGCAATAAGGAGTGCTTAGTGAAGGAGGGGCTGAGACATGGCTTTGGACTCCCACCCAGGCTTCTGCTCTCTGGTTAACCTTAGCACGTTGGAGCCACCCTGTCTACAGTCTCTAAGTTTCAGTCTGCTCAGAAGGTCGAGGGGTTGTGTGCCAAGAGGCCCGATGACTTGCCCAATGTCACCCAGACGTTTCAGAACCTGGGTTCAAAGTCAGTTAACCTAACTTGTATCTTTTGGTTTAGTGAATTCTCCCTTATCGTGTGGTTGGTTATTGGACACTGGCCACATCTTTCATTCTTCCTGGTGGAAGGCCACACCCCTGCAGGGCTAGCATAAAACCCTCCACTTGCATAGTGCAAATAAAGTCAGACATAAATAGAGTTGGGTGCTCAGGACAGCTGAGGTAAGAAGGGCTGGGGAGAGGCTGTTTTTGTGTTTGGTGTGGGAGGGGTTTGATGATGCACATTTGATTGGAGGTCACAAGTTCCCCAGAGCCACCCTCTTAGGACTGTAAATCAGGTTCATGCCATGCCCCTTCTGACGATTCTTCATGGCTTCCTTCTTAAAAAGTCCAAAGGAATGTGTGACAGGGCCTGTGGCCACCACGTGGGCATTGCCTCCTGATGCCCCTGGGGCTCCAGCCCCTTTGACCTCTGAACTCTTCCTGCTGTTGGCTTTTTCTGTAGCTCACGCTCTTCTCCCAGGATTCTCAAGCCTCCCATCTTCTCAACAGTCTTCCTGACCTAGGGTCAAGGGATAACCAGGGCTCAGAGTATGGTTCAGTTGGTAGAGTGCTTGCCCAGCATTCAACAGAGCCCTGGACTTTATCCCAAGCACCCCATAAACTGGCCATGGTGGCACTGACCTGTAATCCCAGCACTATGGAGGTGGAGGTAGGAAGATCAGGAGTTCAAGGTCACCCTTAGTAATGTGAAGAGTTCAAGACCAGCCTGGGCTACTTGAGGCCCTATTCTGAAAGTAAATAAGTAAGTGCCTGTCCTCTTGCTCCATCTTCTCCCATCATTTACAGTCACATCTGTGCCTGCCATCACTGCTGGTAGACTGGGAAGCCCAGGGGGCGTTGTGTTTTGAATTCCTACTGCCTAGAACTCCGCTTACCTTGTGGTGGATGCTTGGCGAATATTTGTTGAAGAAATGAGGTCAGATCTCAGCTCTTTCATCTTCCTAAGGGTGACCTTAGGCATGCATCTACTTAGCACTACCGAGCCTCAGTTTTCTTGTCTGTACAATAGGGATGATGATTCCGATGCTAGTGTAGCAGTAGCCGGGAAGGCATATGGACAGTTGAAGGACAGGCCACAATTCACATCAGCTAAAAAGAATCCCACCTCTGTCATTTCCTGGCTGTGTGGCCTTTGGGTGGTAGTGTCTCTGTGTTCACTTGTGAATCAAATGGAGAGAATAAAATTCTCCTTGCCAAGTGTGATGTGGGGCCTCTTGGGAGGGCTGTAGAAGGTGTTAGATCGTAGAAGTTCATTAAAAAACCAGGACCCAGGCTGGAGGTTGTGAGTGTTGCCAGGGTCCCAGCCTTGGGAACTCATACTCTGTGGGGGAAACAAGGTCGGTGTAATGGAGAATCGCATTGACTTGGCAGCAATTTTCACCAGTACGTGAGTGTCTGGAGATTTCTGACTGTTGAGGAGCAGTTTGTTGTGTGAATTCTGATGACGGCTGACAGAATGCACCTGACTTCATTCAGCAAACCCACAGGTGTGCCCCACTACCCAGGCGCTATAGAGGCGAACACTTTGCTTTGGTATGGATCTTGGTGTATTGATAAACATTTAAGGTTGATTTTGTTATATGTGTATTTCTGCTCTTTGTGCAGCTCATTTAAAAATGTACTGTGTAATTAAAAAATACAGGTTAATAGATAGCCATCTATGATAGTCGAGCTTGTAGTCACATTAATTAGCAATGTTGGTGCGCTCCAGGGCGGTCCATCAACAAAGAGGAAACACTTGCTCCACAGAAGGAGGACCTGCCCTCTGTCCCTGAGTGGGTAGAGAATGTGTGGTTTTTGCTTTATCTCTCAAGACCAGATGTGGTGCCATTCAGGATGGCCTGAAACTGTGTGCTATGGAGCTGAGGGTGATCTTGAACTTCTGATCCTCCTGGCCTCCACCTCCCATTATGAGCCTGCACCTCCATTCCTGGTTTTGCTTGTTTTTAAAGACAGGCTTTCTCAGTGTAGCCTGGGGCCGGCCTGGAACTCCCTCTCCTTCCTAGGACTGGGATTACAGGTGTGTGGTATCAGGCCCTGTTTGTGGGTGGTTTTGACCAGGACTGCCTTTGTTCCTTTTAGCACTGGGGTGCTGAAGTCTCATGCTCTATTTTCCTCTAACCCTGTAATTTTTTAGTGTATAATTTTGCAACAATGCACATTTTTTTAAGAATACAAAGGACGCTGTGTGGCAGAAGCACCCACACCTGCAGGCTGACTTACTACCTGGGAGCACTGGTCTCAGCTCTAAGAGGCCAGGGTGGTCTGCGGGGAGGCTTTATCTATATTCACAAGTCGCTGATGCTTCAGCCTGTGTCTCTCTTGATTTCCAAGTTGAAGTCTAATGGAAGGGAAAGGAAATGAGTTTTAGGGAGAACTCTACAGCAGGTACCACAATCTTCTCATTGCAATTTGCATGGTGACTCCAGGCTTTGGACCTGACCGGGGTTCAAATTCTGACTGTCCAAGCAGGATGACCTTGGGTGGTCTTTGCATTGACTTTCTTCTTTGTAACGCAGGAACACTGCACTGGGGACATAGCTCGCTTGGTAGAGCATGCTTGCTTAGCATGCGTGAGGCCTTGGATCGAGTCCCCAGCGCTTACGCTCCACAATCACACTTCCTCCATCTAAAACCTGCGCGGGTGTGTCTAACCTTTTGACACTGAGATATTAATGGTCATCTGTACAGTTCATGTTTGAGAACCATGCAATCACAGTTAAAAATTAAAAGGTACAGGGTCAGAGAGAGGGCTCAGCCACCAAGAAAGAGCATTTTCTGTTCTTCTAGAGGTCCTGAGTTCAGTTCCCAGCACTCATGTTGGGTGGTTCACCACCGCCTGTAACTCCAACTGTTGGAGATCTAACACTTCTTCTGGTCTCCAAGGACAACTGCACACGCGTGACACAATAAGCCCCCAAATCTCATAATGCTTCCAGGAAATTTTACGATTTCGTGTTTGGACTGCATTCGGCAACCTCCTAAAACATCACCACCAGACGGGGACCAAGAATTTATACGCACAGCTTATGAGGTCATGTCACACTTGAACTGTGACAGTGTGAAGTGAGGGAGGGCCTTCAGCACAGCGAGACTGAGCTATGTTCACACTACTCAGCGCGTGGTGGTTTAAGTGCAAGGGTGCTTGTTCCTGGACAATAAAGGATGTCCAGGCTGGAGGGGGGCTGTGGATCCCAGTTCTATGCGTTTGGCTGCTGTGGAACAAGCGGATTGGAGAAAGAACATTACAATATGGCCTCTCTGGTAGTTCTCACCTTAGGCCTAGACACTGCACGGGCTTTTTCTGTTCCTGTGCAGTTTGGCTTGTACCTAGAATCCTGTCACTGTAGGAGCAAACCGGGACCTGCTGGGGAGAAATAAACCAGGCGAGGGTCATGATCTCCACATTACAGCTGCGGACAGCTCAGACTCACACAGTGGCGAGCAGTGGGCTTCCGTGTATCTGCAGCAGTGCATGAAACCATTGTCGCTAGCCCCTGAACAACACAATATAATAGTTACTATACAGAATTAGATAGAAGAGGCCTAGAGATGCGTGGCAGTGTACAGGAGAATATGGAGAGCTGACATACCAATGTCAAGCCACTTTGTCATGGATAGTGTGTGTGGGGGACCCATGAGGATCCTGTGGAACGCTGCCTACGAATACTGAGGGATGGCTGCGTGGAGATGGTTTTGAACAGGAATCTCCTGGTTCCTGATCGGTGTCACCAACGCTCTGTCCCGGCTCTGGTGCCTAGCACAGTAACTTAGTTTAGACCTCAGAGTTTCTACAAATACATTGAGGACGAAAGTGAATTCAAACTTCGACTCCCTCTGCATCCATTCCCCTTTCCAGCAAGGACGAATTGTTCTGCAAACAAGAATGTTCCCTCCAGAGTCTGGTCACACTCACAGGCCAGTATCTGTTCTGTATTCTCACCCTCTTTTCCCTTTCTCCCTCCTCTCTTTTTCTCTCTCTCCCTCCCTTCCTTCCTTCTCTCTCTCTCTCTCTCTCTCTCTCTCTCTCTCTCTCTCCCTCTCTCTCTCTCTCTCCCTCCCTTTGCCCTTGCCTCCTCCGATCTTGTACACAGACATCCTCATAAGGCCACATGTTTGTAATCATTGTGGCAATTGTGTGCTTTACTTTGTCACAAATGATACCCTGAGCATCCTCCCACATTCCTCCGCAATAATCACAGTTCTATTTGCAAAGGCCTGTGGGCACCCTGGTCTTGCTGCACCAAAGCCTGCCTCCTGCTTGCCTCCCGCCTGCTTCTAAGACATGAGTCTGAGCCAGGGACTCATCTACTTGAAGCTTTCATCTGCAGTTATCAGAGAATGGGTATCCAGGTTCCCCTCCTCCCAAGGCGGTCAGACAGAGTCCTTGCTGACCGCTCACCCCCTCCTCCCAAGTCAGTCAGGGGCTGGTCAGGAAGCAGAGTTCAGTCCAGATGGTTGCAGCAAGGAGATTTTAATCAAGGGATCACTTCTAGAGAGCAACGATGATAGGGATAAAACAGAGAAGTAGAAGGCTGCCCAGAGGCTGTGATTGCCGCAGCCAGGAGGGAGCGGGGGAGAAATACTATCTTCTTTTTTCTACACCCTGTCAGTCCTACTGACTAAATCCAGCTGGAAGTGAGAAGGCTGGGTTGTGACAAGTGACCCACAGGGATGGATCTATGGTAACAGGGGACCTGGGGACACATGGGATCAACTGGAGAGCATCCCTCATGCCTGTCCCTGGCCTCTGCACCTTGTGGTACCTGTGCCCTACGAGGACCGGTCTAGGTATTCCCATCTTTAGACAGGGTCTTGTGTAGCCCAGGCTGGCCTCAAATTTCATATGTGGTCTAGGATGGCCTTGAACGCTTGAGCCTCCTGCTTCCACCTCCCCAGTGCTGGGATTATAGGTGTGCACAAATAGCAATTTGTGGGGGAGGGCATTCCCGTGTTGGTAGGTTGTTGTGAGATGTTTTATTCTTTTGGCTTTTGGGGGGCCCGCCATCCAGCTCCCAAATAAATCTCACACAGAGGCTCTTCTTAATTATAAATGCCTGACCTTAGCTTGGACTGTTTCTTGTCAGCTTTTCTTAACTTATATTATCCTGACTACTTTTTCCCTCTGGACTTTTATCTTTCTTACTTCTGTGTGTGTGTTTTTTTTTTTTTTTTTTTTTTTTTTTTTTTTTACTTCTTTCTCCGTGACTGGCTGGCTGATCCCTGATGTCCCTGATCCCTTCCCCTGGCTTTCCCGTTGCTCCTCCTTCTCTCGCTGTTGCTCTTTCTCTCTGGTTCTCTTGCTATTTAGTCTCTCTGCCTGCCAGCCCCGCCTATCCTGGCTCCTGCCTCGCTATTGGCCATTCAGCGCTATTAGATCATCAGACGTTTTTAGACAGGCAAAGAATCACAGCTTCCCAGAGTTAAACAAATTGCTCTCTGAGGACAGCCCCTGGCCCACAGAGCTGTTCTGAGATGCACTGTTGAGCGAGTGTGTTAGAGGGTACCAATGAAGGAGTCCCAGACCCCTGCCGTGGGCTTCTGTAATTGGCTTTTCTTTCTCTCTGCAGTTGCCCGTGGGCTCAGCCTCGTCCAAGACACCTAGGCACTGCCACCATCCTGGCCAGGATGGGCCTGCTGTTCCTTGTCTTGCTGCTGTCACTTTCCTGTGTCTTGGGACTGCCATTCTACAATGGCTTCTACTATTCCCATGGCCCGCATGGCAGGACCCTGAGCGATGGCTACGGGGAAGGTCGGTGGCTCCTAGGCCTGTCTCCTGCTGTGATATACAGGTTTCAGGCTGGGATACAGACAGGAGGATCTTTCAGGTTTGGGCCTCCAAGGGTGGATCGGCCTTGCTTCTAAGATGAGAGGACATGGTTTAAACACCCTGAGTTTGTTGATACCATAGACATGGGACCAAGTTCTCTTGAGGTGGCCCTTGTTCCTAGAACAGAGCTAGGTCTTTAAGATCCAGCCCAAGGGCCACTACCCCCTGGGCTCCCTGCAGAAGAGACTTTGGAATCCTAGAGATGTGAGCCTGAATATCAGTTGTTCCTCTTTCGTGCTGGGTGATCTCAGGCAGGGGACTTTTGAGATTTCAGTCACCGTCCCTGCAGTGAGTTCCACCTTGTCAGCCTAGTTCTGTTGCTTAGGGACTTCTGCCATTTGAACCCTGAGCTCTGACTGTCTCCTGCCTTGGTCGGGGTAGCTGGGTCTTTTGGAGGAGCCCTGGTCGACAGTTGGCCCAGACTATGAAAAAGGGTGTGCTGTGCTCTTTGGAGGCCACAATGGAAGGAAGGGGATGCAGGAACACGAGGGAGGGCGCTCACAGCGGCTGTCTTGTCCCTTGGCAAAGTTCTTGTTGGTTGTCATAGCAGCAAGTGTTCAAAATCAATTTCTTCAGACCTTTCTTTCTTCTCTTTCTTTCCTTTCTTTCTTTCTCTCTTTCTTTCTTTCTCTCTTTCTTTCTCTCTTTCTTTTCTCTTTCTTTCTTTCTTCCTTTTCTCTTTCTTTCTTTCTTTTCTCTTTCTTTCTCTTTCTTTCTCTTTCTTTCTCTTTCTTTCTCTTTCTTTCT